TTTTTTTTTCCTGGAAGCGGATTTTTCCGATTTCGATAAGACAGGCTCTCACACACGTGTTGCTCCCACAGGAAAAAAATAAAAACGTCCAGAAAAAAAATTGAGGATGGTACCCTTCCTTGACGACAAAGACCAGCGGAGCCCCCGGCGGCAGCGGGGTGCACGCAGGCTCACTCAATCACACCGTTCTTCACGCTCAGGACATATACTGAGACGAGACTTTGCAGGAGGTTGGAAGAAGTCATACATTACACCCGTGAGTGTTTCAATCTTTGTATTCGCCCCTTATTTTTCAGAGACTAGGAGAGGAAACGTGTTGAAAGATGTCGATCAACTTGGCTGCGCCGCGCTGGGGGAGGGCACCTTTGGTCCAAGGTTGTGCAGAGCAGCATCGTCCAAACCGCCCGATATGTGGAGATTACTCTTCTATGAAATGTTAAGATTCGAAAACACCCTAGTAAGAATTGGGATCGGCACTACAGCAGTAGTAATCATCCTTGCCGCGCGCTGTGTAGAAGACGCGGCATAACCTTTAAAAAAGGAGGTGCGGTCGGCTTGACGCCCGAGCGCTGACAGCTTTCCTTTGTGCTGGTCATGGTTAATAGGGTGACCATGAGCATGTTGTGCATGGCTTAGCAAAGACCCAATGGGACCCCTGGCCGCGCAGTTGATGGTGCGTATCGCGCCGTTCATCTGCGAAATTTCGACAGGTTTCTTTGACTTCATCATGCAGATCAGCGGCCGCCGCCGTTGTAGCGCTTGCCTTGAATTCGGGGAAGACTTCAGGCACACCAGGGCGAGGACGGGGGAATTAGTCAGGAGTTTTGTAGACGAAGCTGGTATCGCAGACATGTTTCCCGGCTTTCAGTCTTCCGACGCGAACACAAATTTCCTCGCACTGTGTAAACGCTCGGGTTGTCTGCTGGAGCTGTACAAGAAGGAGGAGTGGAAACGTAACAGGGAAAAGGTGGCGCGGCAGGCAAGTCAGACGCCGCGCCACAGCCGGACCTGGAGCGCCGCTTCTGAACCTGTCACGCACGACACGCCGACGGCTTGATCGGTACTGTACTTCGCCGGCGGCGGTGGATGCCTTGCGGGCCGCCGTTGCTATAACGGGTTGTGTTTTGGACATGTGCGGCGGACCGGAGGACGCCGTGGCACAAGGGTTTGGGGGCACGTGTAAAGTTCTCACGAACGACGTGAGCTCGAGGTATGGTGGTGCAGTTTTTCGAACATATGGAGGTGTCTAGTCTCATAAGTGTCCAGCAGTTTTTTATCCACATCCCCTGATAAAACGCGACGAGAAGGAATGGCGTACTCACATGAACCTCCACCACTGCATGTTTGCGCCACCAAGCTATCGCCAGGTACCAACCTGGACGCGAGCTTGGTTTATTTTCCGGATGAATTTATCAAAGACAACCCCGGAAAGAAACCTGACTGGGTCGTCACGAGCCCTCCGTACAAGGGTTCTGTGGGGTTTGTCCATGCGGCTTTGGCGGTAGCGACGAAAGGCGTGGCACTGAAATTATCGCTATATTCCTGGAACCCTGTACCGACCGGGGAGGTTGGCTTGTAGATAACCCCCCAACTGTGTGCGTTTTTTGACACGGAGCGAAGTACACGCATGCCCACCACGTGAAGGTCGGAGAATTTTGGGGGGTGTGGTACACGGATGGAAGCTACTGCGGCAACAGTGGGGTGTCGAGGCTTGTGTTCTGCCCTGAATAGGGGGTGCTTGTAGGAGGATACAGTAGTATTTTTTTTTGTTGGGGCGGGGGTGATAGCCGCTGACTTGCGGATTGCTGCGCGTCTTTTGTGGAAGTGCACAGACGTTTCGCCTACACAGGTACACTTGCAGGTAGTTGAGTCCCAATTATTCGGGCTCGCTGTTGATTTTGACGGGTGGGTGCTCCACGTTAGAAAGAGGTGTATGACACCACGGCACCCAATCTCGAGTTGGAATGCATCGACTCGAGGCCATTCGCAGTACCTTCGAAACCTAACAATATGTTCCGGATCGATAAACCAACTCTTACTTCATTTTTTCATTATTTCACCACATCTCACAAAGACATCTCATTTCTCCCTTCCCCCCACGAGGCACCAACCAGTTGGCCCGGCGATACAACCAACTGCTCTCGCCGACTGGTCCAATCCATGTCATCGCGCTGCTCGTACTCTGCAACATCAGCCTCGCGAAACCCACCGACACACATGCCCCCGTTCAAACCGCCCACACCAGGCGAAACGTCATCCTCATCGCCGGATTTTTCATCGTCGCTCTCTCCCTCTGTCGAGTCACCCCCATCTCTATCGAATAGCATGAAAGTACCTGAACCCTCTTCTACGCAGCAAGCACGTTTACATTTACACAGCTCTGAGCAAATTGAACCTTTCTTTTTGCAGATGTAAGTCTTACACTGACCCTTTCCCGGCTCATGCGAACATTTGCATTTCGCCGTCTCGACCCCACCCGGCCAGATAGTTACCCTAGGCTCTCTGCGCAACAGCATCATACAACCACCGTCTACTTCGTGATTCTTCACCTTTCCCTTGCCGTTCCAATCGGGAACTGGAATGGGGTAGTTCCCAGACGGTTCCGACCGCAGCACTAACCGGCACAGTCGAACGCCAGTACTCTACCAGCCATTCCATGCGAAGCACACGAAGGTCCAGGACATCGAAGTTAGGCGCAGCCTCTTTTACTTTCCCTTCGCCGTATGCTTTTTCGGATGTGCGTAAGTGGATGGCAGCAGCCCACGCAGGAGTTTCGTCGACCGCCCCATTTCGTTTACTTGGATCAAGAATAGGCTCTACCTGGTGCCCGGGTGGGTACAAAAACAACGCTTGGAATTTTCTAAAGTAAGCTAGGGCAATAACCTTGATCAACTCTTCCCTTCCCAAAGCCACTCCGGAAGCCGATGTAGCCGATCTACCGTCTACTGCATTCTCACCAAGGGCCTTTAAAAACCGATGGTTCTCAGGATTTTTGACATAAAAGAAATATGCGTCGAACAAATAAAAAGCAGTTAGATTATACAAAGTCGGGGTGAAGTCGGTTTCGCAAAAAATGTAGGCGGCGATAACAGGCAAGCACCTCTGCAAGGGGGTGAACGAACTTGGCCAACTTCTTAAACTCGTCAGCGCATTGAATAGCTCAAGTACGTCGACACAGGTAACGGGGGCTTGGTCGTATAGCCCGCTCTGCTTTCGCACCACTACACGCACGTTTCGAGTCCACGGGTGGGCGGCGTACGCGAGGAGAGCTGCAACCCAAATGTCCGTGTCCACGGAAACTACCTCCACCCTGACCTGATCTCTCTCGCCCGCCTCCTGCCCCTCGCGGCCGGCCTCCCTCGACTGCTGGTGTAAACGAGGTACGCGTGGTGGAGTGCTTGGAGTTCACCTTCCCCTAAACCGTTTTCCTCTTCAATAACTATCGCACCGTTGTGGTCGTGGTCGTTGTACCATGACTTGTATCCCGTTGTCATCGAGAAGTCTGAGGACAGCGCGGGCTCCCCGTCGATCCGTAGGCGAAGTTGAAATAAGCAATGCTCTTCCCACTCCAGCTGCGTGCCGTCTGCCTTTTTTTTTCGAACGCGCTCAAGCTGGCGACGAATGTACTGACACAACACGGAACACACACCATTACGGTTTTGCCGGTTCTTGAGGAATTCCTGCCACTCTGTAGCTGAAGACGGCCTCATATCGTCCCCCAAACCAAAACGGTAACGCGGTTCCCTGCACAAGGGCGCGGATTTTTTTTTCTTAGACTTGACCCCAGGAAAAAAAACCCGTGCATTGTGCGCAAAGCTCTTGGGTTCGGGCACCTTATCCCTCTTGTCCGACAACACGTCTTGGATGGGTCTCTCCACCTCGTAGTCGCCGAAGCTTATGTCGTCAGGGAATTTCCCGAATTTTAGACAGAGTGGGTGCGTCGCTTGGCGTCCGAGATCGGCTACTTCGGTGCGAAGCTCATGGACTGTTCCGGGGGGTTACCCGGACTTGAATGGTTTCAGATCGATTATGGAGAGTGGACCACAATGTCCTTTGCCAGAGTTGGGGTGCGCCCTCATGCGCACGCCTCTCAGGCTCAACATTTTCACCTGCAGTTATCCAAACAAAAAAAAAACAGAGACAATAATGGGAAAATATACCTAGCCGCTGTGTAAACATCGTATATAAGTGCACTATTCGTCCTACACACTTGAACGCTCGCGCATTCGCCGAGCAAAGGTGATGTGGATCACTAGACTACTACATATGAACAAGTAGTATACCCTCATCGAAAAACCCACCGCACACACAGCAGTTTATATCATGATTACATGCGAAGTTCTGCACACACTCATGGTTTGCCGTTCATGGCAAAAACAAAAAATGTAATAGCGACAGCGATTGACAGCCATATCCATATCCTTAGCTCGCGGTGGAATGGACCGTGCCTTGCAGCTCTGCTAATGATTGCAGCGTACCACCCGAAATTCAAAATCTACGACAGTTTTTTTGGCCTTTTTTTGTTTGTCTGAAGTGTGTCCTTCGCGCATGTTAGATATACTCGCAGCGGTATCTGGTCGCGAGGTTCCCAGGGGATACGTGTTGGGATCCTTTTGGCGTGGTTGGTGCGATGGAGCTTGCGTGCGTGCTGCGCACTTCTTC